CTTTTTCCTTTTACATTTTTTTTCTTTTCATGATGACAGTGGTGAGGCTCTGCCTCCCCTGCCTGCACGTCACTGGGCCTTACCTAGCCAGTTCCCTGATTCCTCAGACAGATCCCCCTTTCTAGTGGGATCTGATGCGAAGCATCCATAATTGTGTGCCAAGCAGTTGCAATCTGGTCCATGAAAAGGGTTAGTCCTTGCAGGATCTCCAATTTAATATTAAGAGCATTGCATCTGAGTAGCTGGCACCAATAAGAGTTCTTGCATTCCTGAAATCATTCCCCAACTGTGTTTGAATGCTCAGTTGGGGGAAGAAAAGATCCCAGATTAAGGGCCTCTGACAACTCGCCACAGCCATCTCACCATGGGACAACTCGCTGTGGGACAAGAATTACATTCATATCAAAGATATGGTGAAACAGAATCATTAAATAAAGGATGCACAAGGAGGGACAGAATGAAATATGAATGGCAAAAATTAAAATAATTTTTATTTATTTTAAAATAATTACCGTAAATAGAATTGTTAAATTATCCCACAGCGTATTGGCGGTGGCAAGTTGTTCTATTCCCCTGATTAATGCAGGGTGAGAAGGAGACTTTATAACTGGGAGGTCACTGTATTGTACTGCATTGTATTCCTTCGTTTTACTTCTAACAATTCTAATCTTTATTTCATCAAATAATGTTATAGAGTTTGATTTCTATTTTTTTCCCCTTTTAAATTTTTTTTTCAAAATGTTAACAAACCTCTTTTGTAAATCTAAAATAAGAAAATAATCCAGAAAATTTTTCCAATAAACCCCTTAGTTTATTGTTTGTACTTGCCTTTTAATTATTACATCAGCCAGTTTCTTTTGTATGATCAGTATATCTTATTCCATATCATTCTTGTAGCCTGTCATTTGTTACATTGACTTTCAACTCAGCCTTGATCTTGTCAGGTAAAACTTGTTCTTCTTCTATAACATCTTTTAGATAGCTTTCCATAGAGGCAGGTGTCACTGATGACACTATTAATCTATGAATCCATTCTTCAAAAATATCCTTCAGTGTCTCTAATGTTAGCATGTGGCTCTAGTCTGTAATTATTAGTTGAGTTTATGTGTTCTTTAATTGTAATATTTAGTTCCCTCTAATGCCTAATTATATAATATATATTTATATTCACAAATAAAAAGCATTTCCCCACAATTTTAATTCCAAAATGTCAAATTTATCTGGACCCTTAGCCTATTTATAACTTTCTAAAATCAACATTTAATCTCCTGTTTGCTGTTTATCATCCTTCCCAAAATACATTCTTAAATTTGTGCTTAAAAATCTCTTTTGCCCATAATTTATTTAGTATCATCTATTAAATTTCTACACAGTCCATTTAATCATCTAAGTGACTTTAGGGGGGTTACAACAATTGCAGGGAAACTTAGTAGGTGCTGTCAAACTAGTCAATGCAAAGGTTCTTAATAGCTGAAAAGTAGGTAGATTTAGTGTCCTTTCAAAGGTGGCAACCATGGTTTGAACAGGTTGGCTCATATCTCCGGGCTCTAGGGAAGGGACGGCTATCTTGTGATCTCCTCACAAGCATTTGTGGACAATCCCAGGTCCAGAGGATCCTTTTTTAGAGAGATACATAGAGCTGGCCCACTCAGGGCTCTCTGTTCCTCATGGTGGTCGTGTCAACACCACGTTTCATGGGTCTCTCTTCAATCTCCCATTTCTTTCTCTGGATGTCCCAACGTGGCTCTTTTTAGGCTTCTCTAATCTTTCCTTTGAACTTTCTTATATGGATTTCCCCAAGTAAATTGCTCCGATACACCACACAGAAGAGGGTATAGTGCTAGATAGTCATCAGTAGAGATGATTTCATGATAACCTTTGAAATATCTTCATCATGACAGCATTTCAGCTATGGGAGTTACATCCAAAGGGTCCTAATGAGCCTCTTCAAAGCAGCATCACTTTTGTAGGTAACTAAAATAGAGAGTCAAGCTTGAGACATAGCTTTCCCTACTCCTCATGCTCCTATGCTGGCCATGTTGGATGGCCCTTCAGAGTTGCAATTCCAAGATGCCTGGAGAGCACCAGATTGAGGGAGTTCCCTTTGAAAGGAGGTCCTACTATATCAAATTCCAAACAAGGTACCAGCATTTACGGGGCAACCCATTACAGCTATTTGCAAGATAAGATCCCACTCCACGCTTTGCTCTGTTCAGCACTCACCAAAAAGGAGGCTTGGAACAAGATGTTTGGCTTGGGACATAGTTGTTACCTGTGATAACAATTTAAGCAATAAACCATATTTTTAAAAATACATTGAAAGGGTGATATCATTTGAATGGAAATGTGTATCAGTTATTAAAAAGATCACTTATCTGCAAGCTGGACTTTGGAAAGCATATTATAGTAGGGCTTAAATAACTATAGGGGAAGGAATTATTCTTAGCAATTATTCTAAACCTAATGTCTGAATTAATAATATGCATCAAAATGCTACTTTTGAGCCCTTTTTCACATATGGCATGTATAATGGAGTTCTTGGATTGTACCATTTCAGCTGGCAGATCAGGTGGGGAAGGAAATTAATGTCAATGAAGAACCTACAGGGTTAGCTGCATGTTAATTGGGGCACTTCCTTGAGTAGCTCAGGCCTCACAAGCTTGGAATTGTTTCCATTAGGCTACAATATCCTCTTTCCCTCCCTCCCTCCCTTTCTCCCTCCCCCGCCCTCTCTCTCACCCCCCCCCCTCTCCACCTCAACTATGGACAAGCAACAACCAAAGAGATCCAAGAGGGCAGATTCATAGATTGCACTAAGCTGCAAATCATTTAGCTGGCTTCACTTAGTTTTGGAAGGACAGGATAGGATAGGAGATAGGATAGGAAATAGGATAGGAGATAGGATAGGACAGGACAGCTTAGCTTTATTGGCCAAGTGTGATTGAAGACACAAGGAATTTGTCTCCAGTGCATGAGCTCTCAGTGTACAGGTAATCCTTAACTTATGAACACAATTGAGCCCAAAATTTATGTTGCTAAGTGAAACATTTATTAAGTGAGTTTTGCCCAGTTTTAAGATCTTTCTTGCCACAGTTGTTAAATGAATCACTGCAATTAAGTTAGTAACCCATCTGGCTTCCCCATTGATTTTGCCCGTCAGAAGGTCAGAAAAGATCATTTTTAGTGCCATTGTAACTTT